AGACAAACCACTGTATAGGCCACGACTCTCCAACAAGTAGTTCTGGTTTTTCTTTAGCAGAAAATTTTGGTTCAGGTAATCGTTGGGAAAAGTTGAATAAATCTTGTAAATTTTATAAATTAATTTTAATTTTATTAAAAATATTTAATTTTAAACTCAACCAATTTTAAAATTCTATTATAAAAATTTTTTAAAAATTTTTGAGTTTTTATATGTTTTTAACTTCAAAAAAAGGTTTTTACTACTAATCAAAGTTAATATTTTATTTATAAAATTTAAAAATTTTACTAATCACTTTAAAATTTAACAATTCTTTCCAATAATCACCTGTACCAAATTTTCCAGCTAACAAAAAACAAAAATTTTGTTGGAGATAGTAGAAGAAGCAGATACTTTTATATAATGGTTTGTAAGTAAAATATCTGAGGTTAACTTTTTCAATTTGGAAGACTTCTCGCTTACTTTCGGTATGCAAGTCAAAAGCATTTGTATACAAGATAACTGGCAAGTTGGAGGTGCTCTTGTGTTGAAAATTTTGATGGTATTTTGGTTTTTGTCCATCAACGAAGTTGTTCTTTAGTGTTCTGGTTTCCTAGATAAACAACAAATGAGTTTTTCACTACCTTCTCTAAGGACTTTGGTTATCCTATATTCGATTTTATCCTGTCAGCATTTTTTTACAAAATTTTTGAAAAAATTTGAAGATTTGGCTACTCTTCTCCAAACAATCAACATTGTTTACCACTTCTATTTTTAGAAGTTGCTATTGCGATGTGGCAAATTAGAGAAACAACAAACATGTGTGGAACGTATAGTGATTTTTATTATTAGATTTAATTTGTAAGAGTTTATAGTTAGTTTTAAGTACTTTTATTAGTATCATGTAAGATATACATCATTCCAAAGTCACATGTATAATATTTTTTTAACTTGGCATGGGTTATAATAGTACTTTCATCATTTTTGTTTTTTCTTTTTTTATTATATCTTTTTTTTTATTTCTTTATAGGATTTTTTATGTAGTTTTTTTTGTAGTTTTCATTTAGATATTTCTCCTTTTTGGTTTTAAACTTTTCTTTTTCTTTGATCTTGAAGTTTTTTTATTGAGTAGTTAGAAGTATTTCTTTCTACTCAGAAAGTTAAAAAGAGAAGATTTAGGGTTCAAAAAAGAGGAGGCAATCATGATAGCCATAAATGCTACTCAGTGATATATTAGATTTCTTTGTTAGTAAAAGGGTTTAGTATTGAGAGAAAATTTTACTATAGCAAATCACATATAGGTAATTTGGACTTTTGTCATATAAGACTCTCATCACAAAGAGCCAGGTAAATCAATACTTGTAATTTTAAAAGTAACATGTTTAGCCCAGTGTTAAAGTTAGCTTACTCATGAAATAGATATAAAATAGATATGTAAGTTTTATACCTAATAAAGTATTGGCATGATTGCTAAAGTTAAAAAAAAAAAAATTTTACTAATTAAATTTGTTTATTAAAACTTATTCTATATTTTTGTTTTAAAATTATAGAGATAGAAATTAAATTATAAAAAGTTTGTTAATGAGTAAAGATAAAATTTATACTTTAAAAAACTTTTTTTAAAATTTAGATGATATTTAGTATATAGACAACTTTACTTTTTTTTTTATAAATTAAAAATAAATATTACTATTTTATAATCCTTATTTTCAAATATTATTGTATAAAATTTTTTTTAAATATATTAAATTTTGACAAAATTAGATTAGACACTAAAGATTTAAAATTTTAGCAGCCAAATTGCTTGCTAAAATTGATGGTTTAAAAGATAAACTACTTGACTAAAAAAAATAAATATGATTTAAAAGATGCTTGTTCTTCAGTTGTTATGCAATAGCTAGCTTTGTCAACAAAAGACTTGAACTTCTATCACCTCTACCTATCCACCAAAATTTCATATACAAGAGCACTATCTTCTGCTAATTATCTTGTATACTGACACTTTTAGCTTGTATGTTGAATATATAAAGTAATAATGCTGCCCGAAACTATTTTGTGCTAATGACCAAAACTGAAACTCCAACACTCTGCCCAAAACTAAAAACTGAAATTCCAAAACTATGCCGGAATTCCTAAATTATACCAAAATTCCAAAACTTTTCTGAAACTAAGTTTATATATAAAGCATAAGATAAATCTTGTCTTATGCTTGATTTACATAAACAAACTAGCATGATACACCAACACAATTGATTTGAAAATTATTGGGACACTTGAATAGTTTGCTTGTTTTTCAAAACTTTCGGTCTTGTCATCTAAATCTTCGAAAATAGTATCACTATTTTCCAAAGACAGTAATGTAGTTTTCAAAGATTTAGATAGTTTATGAAATAAAGCCAAAGAGCTTTGGGAAACAATCAAATTTTCAAGCATCTCATTAATTTACAAATCAGCTATAATAATCACTTCTCAACAACCTTCCCTTTCCTAACAACTCTCCTTACTCCCAACAATCTACTTTTCCCCTAATAACCCTTTCTCCCAATAATCATCTCTTCCCCGACAACCTTCCTTTCCCTGACAACTTTACCTAGTTCCAACAATTTTCCGTTCTCTGATAACTCTTCCTTTCCCAACAATCTTCCCTTTTCTGACAACATCTCTTTCCCTGAAACCTCCCTTTCTGGATATTACTATTTTTGCAACATCACCACTCCTCTAACACAAACACTTTTTCAATATCACATTTAAAAACCTTTTTTACATTTATTCACAATATACTAATTATTTACAATATTAATTTAAATTTAAATAATAAAATAATTTGTTAAAAAAAATTGGTTAAAAAATTTCAAAATTATGTTTGTAACTCAAAATTTATGTCATACTTACGTATGTATATATATACCATTTAACAAACTGTGATTTTAAATTTTATTGGCCGGTAGTATATATTTTTGAAACTAAAAAATTTTTATTTTTTTGATTTATTTTTATGGTTTGCATAATTTTAGAACCCTATTGATAACTTTTTTTATAATTAAATAATTGTAACTATGATCATGATTGCTAAAGCTAGCTAACTTATTATAACTCTAAATTTGATTCAAACTCGAATTCATGATAAATTGGCTAGCTTTAGCAATTGTAATCGCAATCACAATTATTTATCATAAAGAAAATTATTAATAGGGGTCCCAAAATTATTATTATTATTATTATTTTTTTTTAAAAAAAAAATTCGGCAGTCATGCCTTAGCTTTATTAGGCTTTGTACAATTCCTCTAGAATATGTAAAATTTTACAACTAGGCAT